TTAGGAAGAAGCACAGTACTTTCATAAATTACTTGATCATTTAAAGCATCAGTGCTTTGACATGCTGATTCAGCAGCCATCTTCATTCCAATATTTATAAAATATTCATTTAATGTTTCAGTAATAGATTTATCATCAGAATCCACCAATTGCTGGCTTAAAAATATCCGTGTGTAGCACGAATTGCTTTACTTGGATCCAACAGATGTTTTTTTCCGACAGGCGGACATAAATGTTATATCCCCATGTTTCGTGCACGTGCGCGTTTCTCTTTAATCTTGAGTCCAATCACAAGCGTCGATACAGGGTGTCTCGAAAAAACGCAATGGAAATTCAGCAGGCTGTCGTGCATCATAAATTTGGCTAAACAATTCAATTTTTTGCATAGGACGAAAGAGCTAGCTGTTATTTAGCTTTTCTATGATACTTTTTTTAAATGGTAACGATGAGAAATGGCCACATACTCTTCAATTAAAAATTGGCGGTGGAAGTCACATTCTTCCACCGTTGGGGGTTGATCTGAAATACATTAATGATGCAAAGTTAATCAATCCAAAAGCAACGCGAGTCTGCTGCAAGCTATTTGTTTCGTAAAACGTTTTGATTACGAATGTTCCCTGTCCAGTGGTTAATTGGACCATGTTTATTAATATACGTTCTTATTGTCTCACTAAGACGAAGATTGACGAGTTGAGCTCATTTTAGATAATTTAACATTCAATTTTAATTCCCTCTTGGGAATAGACTATGTTTCGTTTGCCATGCAATTCCCAACGGTGGAAGAATGTGATATCGACCGGCAATTTTTATTTGACCAGTATTATGTGGCCATTTGTCATCGTTACGATTTAAAAAGAGTATCATTGAAAAGCTGAATAACTGTTCTTTCTTCAGATGTAAAAATTGAATTGTTTAGCCACGTTTATGATCCACGACAGCCTGTTGAATTTTCATTGCGTTTTTCAGACATCCTGTATAACTACTTTATTCTGCATGAAACGTTTAAGGCAATAGTACTTGCATGAAAACGGTGCATTTGGCATAGTTTGTCTAGATATGATGGCCTGCAAGCCCATGAAGCTTCAAAGCTACAAAATAGACGACTTTCCTTGATATCGAACTGTACTGTACCTCACCAAGCGCAAAATTCATTACCATGCTTGTTCCTATTAGACGATCACTAAACTAATTATACAATGAGGTCAATTACCGTGACCGTGCACAAATTAGACAAAAAAAGAAAAACATAACGCAAAGCCTTAATAGATAATTACTGAGGCCAACGGCATTATTCGATATATTGCAGCCAGCTGAGGCCGAAGGCCGAAGCTGGCTGCAACAAATCGAATAATGCCGTTTGGCCGAAGTAATTATCTATTATAATTACTGACCCGAATCAAAAGTAATTATTTTCGGCTGGAAGACTACGTTGCTGCTTGTTGGGACCATATGACAATGAATCTATCCAACGTTACACTAGACATTTGTGAGGACATGCATGTAATGCATCGTGATAGAACAGATTTCTGTTTAATTAATCGCCCTAAATTAAAATCTCCACAAGCGCAGGTCAATTATAGTGTTCTAGTTTACATATTATCATTAATGATAAGGTTAATTAATGGATAAACACGGGAATAGAACTTATGGTGTGTTCTGCACATGCGTATATCTAGGATAAAATACCACAAGCGCAAACGAAACTATTTCTCTATAAAGTTGAGCTGAAAGGACTCACAGTGACCGTTTTGGCAGTGCTTCAGGCGCCCGATGATATTGTATGAGGGGCCTCTAGCACTGTCAACTTCTCATCTTGAGATGTTCACGTTATCGCGTGTACTTGTCAGGATGACGAAGGATTGCGAATAATGTCTGTGTGCACTGATACGCGCTGCATTATTTTTAATAATGCTGTGTGCACGCTGCATTATTTTTAATAATGCTGTGTGCACGCTGCATTATTTTTAATAATGCTG